CTCCAGGAGCATGTGTGTGGCAGCATCCCCACGAGCTGGTCCAGCCCAGAGCTCGGAGCCAGGTAGATGCTCAGTGGGGCTGACACAGAGCTCGGTGCTGGGTGGATGCTCCAGGACTGGAGGCAGCACTGAGGAAGGCAGGAGGAGACAGCACTGGGAAATCAGAGGACTAGGAGAAGGCCATGGTAGGACCAGGCTCACCCGCATTCCTGCCCTCCCCTCGGTGTAAGGTAGAATCTCGGGAAAGGGATGCAAAGGGACAGTTTGGGAGCATATGGGGGCCTGCCAGAGGCAGAGAGCAGCTGAAAATCAAGTCCCCCTCTACCGGGTTAAGGAATCACTGCCCCCTTTCTGTCCCCCATACCATGCGGCCTCGGGGGATGTGCCCACCCTTCACCCCCTGCCTGCACACCCAGTGGGGATGGGGCAGCACATCTCCCCGGTTCTCGGTCCGCGGCCAGCAGACTGAGGGGAGCAACCCTAGCTCAAATGCTCGGTCTGCCGGTAAAGCCGGGGCAGAGCAAGTCCCCCCTCCAACCCAGCTCGGGGTAAGAATGACACTCCCCAGCTCAGACTCAACCCAAGGGAAATGAGGGAGCTCAGCACACCCTGACTCAGACACCCCCTCCAAGGGGTAACGGGGTGGGAGATGAAGCACCCTTGGAGCGACTCAGCCTCTTCCGGGGGGGGAGGGGGGAGAGCATCTCCCGGGGCACGGCAGGGCTCAGCATCCCTACTGCGGCCCCGCCCGGGGGGCAATGGGGAGCATCCCCAGTAGGGGGGTGGGGGGGACGAGGGCAGAGCATCTCCGGGGGGTGGCAAAAAGGGCAGAGCCCGCCGAGTCCAGCGCCACCGGGTGCTGAGCATACCCACGGAGGGGGCCGAGCATCCTCTCGGGGGGCAGCAGAGCATCCCCGGGGGAGGCAATACGGGCAGAGCCCTCCGGGTCCGGTCCCACCGGGGGGCTGAGCACCCCCCGGGCGGCCCCACGGGGATCACGGGGGCAGAGCTCCCCCCGGGCGGCCCCGCGCAGGGCTGAGCATCCCCCGTGGGCAGCGCGGCCCCGCCCGCACTCACCGCCCGCCGAAGTCGCTGGAAGCCGCCGCTGCCGCCGCTGCCGCCCCGCCCTGCCCCGCCCACTGCGTCACGGTCCCCGCCTGGACACGCCCCCGAGCAGGCCCCTGAGCGGCCACGCCCCCAGGGGAGGGGGTCGGGGGTCAGGGCGGAACCGGGGGCCGGGGACCTCCCGGGGACAGGAACCTCCCTAGGTACAGGATCCCCCTGGAGAGGGGAGGGACCCCCCCTTTGGGCCTTAAAAGATTTTCAGGAGCGACAGGAATTCCCCCAGGGAAACTCTTCTTGAGGACAGAAACCCTCTTGGGGGGCAGGAATTCCCCCAGGAGGACAGAAGACTCTGAGGTGGGGCAGAAATGCCCTTGTGGCAGTAGGAAACTCTCTTGTGGGCAAGGTTCCTCCCTGGGGAATGGGCTTAGAATTCTCCTGGGGGCAGGAACGTCTTGGGGGTTTATAAGTCCCCACAGGGGCAGGACTCCCCAGGGATCTTGTCCAACCCCGGAGGGAGGGAGGCAGGAGCAGACATGGGCTCTGGGGTGTCCCAAGCCCTGGGTGCCCCGTCCCCCACCACCATGTGGGGAGCAGCGATGGGGCCAGGCAGTGACCCCCAGACTCTGTCTTAGCCCCCTCCTCACGCTGCAAAGCTCAGTTCTGAGCCCTGGGGGGATGAGATGTGTCACGCCAGGCCCCCCTCGAGGATGTCTTCAGCATCATAAATGGGACAGAGGGCACTTCAGTGGGAGCAGCCAAAAACCCACCTTGCTTCATCATCCTGCCCTGCACAGGAGCATCCTTCACAAACAATTAATTTGGGAGCCTTGGAAGCACAGCCCCTGGCACAGGCTTTGGGATCCCTCAGCAGTCTTCACCCAGCCAACCAAGGCGGAGCTCCTTTCTGTGACCCCGCTGGGAAAAACTGGGATCAGTAGCATCATCACAGAGCAGCACCCTCCTCTCTCCAGGAAGGACATCGAGCTCATCCTCAGGATTTTTGCTGGACCACCCTGGGGAAGTCTCACATAAATGCCTCCAACCCACCAGAGGAGGGAGTGTGCTGGATCCGCCAGCCAGACTCAGGAACAACTGCCTTCAATCCCAAGAACATTTCATCTCTTTTCCACATGCCAGAGTTTTCTAAGCCAAGACAAGCTTCACTTTTTAAAAATAATACTGTGATACAGTTCTCAAATAACATTGATGAATACAATAATCCAAGGAAAACATTTTCAAGTAAAGAGGGGTGTGCAGCCAGGAGTACCAGGATCTGCTTTATTGACTGCCATCCACATTAATTTGTATCCATTGCTTTAAGAAGAGATGGATTAGGAGTAGCCTTTCTGTCAAGGCATGGCATTTCCTGCCTGGGATGATCAGAAATTTTCTCAATCAAATATGTTCCTTGCTGATAAAATGCTCTTTGTGTATTTAAGAAACACTGAGAGAAATAGGGTCAGGCAGGGAGGTTATGGACATACCATCTCCTGGCCATACCTGGGAAGCAGAAGGAATGTGGATTTCTTGGATTTGTCCATATTCTGTGCTTTATCCTGCTCTGGGGAGGCCCAAGAGCTGACACCACAGCTGTGAAAACATCTCACTGTCATTCCAATCCTCTCCTGAAGTTTTGTAGGAAAGGGCACAAGTGGGAATGCAGCACTCTGGAGTGTTCAGAGTCATTGAGGGAGAATGGGGCAGGGCTGGGCTCTTCAGTCGCCGTGTAAACCCCAAAGGAGGGGAGCAGGATTCCTTCCACCCAGTTTACCCCAGGACTGGGCAGGACTCCCAGCCAGTTCCTGCCAGTGCCCACATCCCCTTGTGAGCAGGGCACAAGCCCTCAGGGGACACAGGCCCCAAAATCACCATCAGCCCCTGGGCTGCCAGTCACGATTTCCCTTTGCAGGTCCCCTGGAACCAATTCCTCCCCCATGGGGTGGCACCACTCCTTCAGCAAGCTCCAAGCACCCATTTCAACCCTAAAAAATAGCAAATGCAGTTTACAGCTGGTGCCCACCCTTCGCTGCTCCCACCACAGAGGTGTGGGTGGCACTGAGAGCCCGTGGTGTGGGCTGTGCTTGGGCACTGCTCAGTGGGTGTCTCCTGGGAGACTCCAAATCCTCTGAAATCATCAGGATCAACCCTGCCAAGACTGTCTTTTTAGTGTCAGTGGCATTACTTTATCCTTGGCCAGGGTGTGTGTGGCCAACAGAGTTCCAGCCTCCACACAGACAGAAATACAAAACCTTTCTACGTGTTTATACAAAACAAACAAACAAACAAAAAACCACCACCACCAACAACAACAACAAAAAAAAAAACAGGACTGGAGAGTGAAGTTACCTCAGGGGCTGTCGTTACAGGGAGGACGTGGGGGCAGTTCCCTCAGAGATCCATGTTCTGGGAGAAATGGGGACGCACTTACTCAGAGGCCCTCATTACTGGGAGCACTGGGGAGCCAGCACCCTTAAAGGCCTTTGTGACTGGGAGGACGGGGTTCTCCTCATGCCGTTCACCTCAGCGACCCTCAGTACTGGGAGGACTGGTGTGTGGGGATCCCCTCAAGCACCCTGCTTTACTGGGAGGGGGCAGTTACCTCACAGACCCTTGTTATAAATGAGAAGCTTGACTAGGCCAATATTCAAGCAGCAATCAATTTATTAATTAATATGGTAAAGTATGAGCAATACAGCGCTGGGTACAGTGGGGAAAATTTTCCCTCCAACTTCACGCCAATAGTTGGGGCTTACAGGTATTTATAGGGGTACTCGTAAGCTTTCTCAGCAGTTTCTATTTCAAATTTTTATGTCACAATTCTACACACTATTGTGATTTAGTTTTTCTCAGGATGTATCCCAGAAAGGAGTATCCCCAGATGGTGGGATCCAGCTTCCGAAAGAAGAAAGAAGTCTCCCAGCTGCTGGTGAGGACCAGATTCCAGATGTGGGTCCACCTTTTAATTGCAAGGACTATAAATCTCATAGCAGTGATGTCCAGCTTCCCTTGGTTGAAACCATCAATCCTTGAGTTGATGTTCATCTTCCTTTCTCAAGCTGCTTTTCAATGTTTTGTTAAGGCATCAAGATAAGCATGTTTCCTTTTTTTATATTCTAAAGCTATAGTTTCAAAGATCCTGACTACAAGCAATGTTCTAAAATTATACTTCAAAGGTTATTATTGCAAAACTTTTTTTTTGCTAAAGCAGAAAGTTCCTGTCAAACAGCAACATCCTTAAAGCTTTAATTCGAATGCTCCTAAATCAACTTAAGACTACATAATTGCAAACAAAGGATAGGTTCAAAGGCCTTCTTCCATGCTTTACTTCCTCAGTTATTTATTAGAATTTTTATAACTGTCCCATGGTCAGTTTCCACACATATCACAATCACAAATACACACGTTGCTTGTATGTACCTGACACGAAACACAGCTGTGTATTTCACACCCTCATACTGGACAGGGAGGATTACGGGAGCCCCATTACTGGGAGGACTGCGGCAGGCTGGAAGCCCCTCAGGGCCCCTGCTAATGGAGAACTGGGAGGGGGCAATCCCTCAAACACCCCCATTATGGGAGGGGCAATTACTTCACAGATCTTCATTACGAGGGGGGATCTCCTCAGGGATCCCCTTTACTTGGCGGAAATCTCCTGAATTTGAACGGGGGGAGTTTCCTAAAGTGCTCTTGTTACTGATAAGACTGTGAGGGGAGGGAGAAACCCTCAGGGACCCTCAGCACTGGGAGGGCTGGGAGGGGAAGCCCCTCAGGGGTCCCCGTTACTGGGAGCGCTGCAGAGGGATCCCTCAGCACTGGGAGGGGAATCCCCTCAGGGGTCCCCGTTACTGGGAGCGCTCCCTCAGCACTGGGAGGACTGGGGGTTATGTCACAGCCCTGGTGACGTCAGGGCGGCGCGCGGTGTCGCGGGGGTGACGCGGCGCGGGGCGGGCGCTGTGGCGCTGTCCCCGCTGTCCCCGCGGGGCCCGGCCGGACATGGCCCCGCGCGGCCGCCCCGCCGCCGCCGCCATGCCCCGCAGGGGCGCCCGCAAACGCCTCAAGTTTCGCGCCGACGACGTGTGCTCCGAGCGGGGTGAGAGCCGGGCCGCGCTGGGCCGGGCCTGCAGGGCCGGGCCTGGGCCGCGGCTGAGGGGGGCCGGGGCTGATGAGGGGAGCGGGGACTGTGAGGAAAGGCGGGTCTGAGGTGAGCTGGGCCGAGCTTGGCCGTGCTGGTGCACGCCGAAGAGGAGGCCTGGGCCCGCATTAGGGCCTGAGAGAGGAGATAGTTAAAGGGCCTGGGCTTGGCCTGGGTGAGGGGGATGAGGGGAAGGAGGACGGTCTGGTCTCACCTAGGAGTGAGTTGGGCCCTCTCGCGTTTGTGCGGGCAGAGAGCTGCATCCAGGAGGGATCCCCTAGCAGGGTTCTGGAGGGATGTGTGGCAATAAGACCTTTTTGCCTGTGGAGGAGGAGCCTGAGACCAGAGGATCAGCCAGGCTGGAGTTGGGCTGTGTGAGGGAGAATGGGATTATCACTGGCTGAGGTGGTGGGAGAAGGAGAATTGCATTGAGCTGGGTGGGGACGTTGGTCCCCTGAGCCTGGTAGCCTGGTCTGGAGTAGAGACTTTCTGGGGACTGCTGGTCTGCATGTCTCTGCTGAGGCTCATTTTCTTGTTTGTGCATCTCCTCCTCGAGCCTCTGCTCCTCTGGGGACTGTTCCCTTTAATCATCGTGACTCTTAGCCCTTTTGTCCCCTCCCCATAATCCCTAATCCCTCTGACTCCTGTTTCCCCCTCTCTGCAGTGACGGTGGCAGATTATGCCAACTCAGACCCAGCTGTCGTGAAGTCTGGGCGGGTGAAGAAGGCTGTGGCCAACGCAGTGCAGCAGGAAGGTGAGTATGCCACGGGGCCCCAGCCTTACCCACACTGCCTTCAGGTTTTGCTCTGCATGACATGGGAAACTCCTTTTCCTTAAACTGAGAAAATGTGTTGTCCTTTAGTGCTGAAAATGAACCCGTGCTACTCTGTAGACAACCAGATTTAGACAGAAGGTTTTGCAGAGATCCTGCTGCAAGAATTGCTGAGTCTTTGTTACTGCCTGAAATGGAAAGGCTTGGGTGTCATCTCCTGATTGAAGCAGAAAATAACATTATAAAAGTCTTTATTACCACATATTAAACTGTAGATAACTTTATTAGCAGGCTAGACAACCAGATGTTAAGGATTTAGACAGGAAGTTTTGCAGAGAGCCTGCTGCAAGGATTGCTGAGTCTTTGTTGGGTGTCATCTCCTGATTGAAGCAGAAAATAACATTATAAAAGTCTTTATTACCACATATTAAACTGTAGATAACTTTATTAGCAGGTAAAGTTCTTTGCCAGGGGAGTAAGGTTGTAATAGGTCTGTCAAACATGTGTTGTGAGGAGGTCTTGGGAGGGTGTTGCTGTTTTTTTTGTGAACTTTGCAAAGAAGGAGTTTTCCTGGAAAGGTAGTGCAGTATTTTGTTATCATCTTTCTCCTTGTCTGGGAGCTTTCTGAGCTAACACACCCCACTTGGTTGAGAAATGGTGATGTTTAGGCCTTTTAAATGTAGCTGTCACACGTGTTGGGGTGGATGTTGTGTTGACAGTGATGACTGAACTTTTCATCTTGCATTGTTGGAGGCAGTATGCATTTGGCATGAGTGCCTGTCAGGGGCAGTGGTGCTTCTGAACATCCTCTTCAGCTTCTACTTCTCAAGCTTTTAAGATCAGGACACTTCCCTCTTTTGTGGCCTCCTTTGTTTGGGGCTTCCCTCCTCCCAGTCCTGCTCCTGTTCACCCATCTGTGTTCTGTCTCCTTGAGGCAGAGTCCAGCACTTCAGCATCATGCTGGCAAACTGCTGGTGTTCTGTTCTCCCTGCCCCCAGCATCATCTGCTTCACCCAGTTTATCCCCTTTCCTGCTGTGTTTCTGGCTCACCTTCACCTCATCCTGGTGCCTCCAGGTCACAGCAGTTCCATGCCCACCCCTTTCCCAGGTCTTTGCAGTGCAGTCTCAGGGGTTTCCCCTCCGGATTCGTTCTTGGGATCTCTCCTCCCCAGCCCCAGGGCTGTGCTCCAGCCTTATCTGGTGCAGCCATGACTGTGCTGCAGCCTTATCTGGCCCAGCCTTATCTGTGCGTCTTGGGGTGCCACGCGTGGGGACAGGAGCTCCAACCTTTGGCCTTGCTGCCCTCCAGAAACTCCGCTCAGAGTAAACCCCCTGCTGGGTGGGACTGCAGCGGGCGGGGCGCCTCCCACAGCGAGTATCCCATGGGAGCTTCATCATCCCATGGGAGCTTCACCGACAGGGGAGCCGCGGCCAGGAGGAGCTTTTCTGGGCTTCTTTCTTACCCATTTTAGTGCCCAGGATGGGAGGATTGCAGGAGTGAGGTGAAGAGAGGGTGCCTCTGCAGGATTGCAGCGCAGCCATTCACTGCTCGGTGGACTCATGCTGTTGACTCAGAGGTTGACTTTTTCGTAGCAGAGTGGGGTGGACTCTTCTTCTAAACCCCACTCTGAGTCCCTGTCAGTTTTGTACTCTTGCTTGGCTGCATTTGATGTCCTAACTCACTGCCATTTGTGTTGCCACATATTTCACTCTCTTTTTACCTATGAAAGGTCATGTGGAGAGGGCAGTGGGTGAACAACTGCCATGAATACATCCAGGTGCCAGGAAAGCATCCAGTTTACAGAGCAAACTGTGCAAAGCGAGGTAGAACTGGTTTAGCAAAGCACTGAGGTGTGTCTAGTCAGTAGGTACAGTCAAGCCCTGTCTGAAGACTTTCTATCTGCTGTCTTTTCATTTTATTAAAACCTTGTTTGGTGGTTAGAAATGAGAATATTTTTCACCTGAGTATATTTTTAGTTTCTTGTTGTTGTTGTTTGTTTTTCTGCCACTCTGTGATTCAAAGAGCACATTTTGCTCTTCAGTGACTCTGGTGACTGCAGTGACTGGAACTGGCATGTATAAAACCTTCCTAGGCTTCAGTTTGTGCTGAGTAGAAAAGCTTGAACACTATAAGCCTCCTCTGACCTCACTGGTCATGTTCTATTCTTCACCCGGTTTGTTGGGTTGAAATTCAGCTCTTTAATGAATTTCACAGGCTGTTTGTTAGCCTTGGTGCTGCTGTGGCAGTGCTGGTCTCTGTGGCAGTGCCTCACACAGCTGTAATGCAGGGCCACACCTTTCTTTTCCAAGACTGTCATTACTGACTCTCATGTGGACTTTTCTGCCCTAATGAGCCCTCAGTTTACAGATTGAGTTTTAAGAATAATATTCCTGAACAGGAATATGTCTAAACATGTCCCCAGATACTGGAAAAAAACGGCGCCAAGCTCCAGCTGACTCAGCTGGCTGTTTTCCTTGCTAGGCCAGAGCCTTCCCCTTCACTAAATTCCAGGGTAAGTGGAACTCCTGTGCACTTGCCACTGAGTTCCAGCTCCAGTGGATTGTGTCATCGGCCACAGGACGGTTGTTCTGCTGCAAAGGGAGTGAGTCTTCTCCATGCTCATAAAACAGTTCCAGAGCAGGTGCTGGCTCCAGGCTGAACGTGGCCATGCAAAGCAACTCTGCTGTTAAGGGAAACCAGTTACCCCTTAGAAAGAGCCTGTTGTTTTATTTGGAGCTGTAAATAGCTTCAGCTAAATCAGTAGGATCTGCATAATGTTCTGGTAATCATCTTCATTGTTCGTTACTTAAAACAAGCAGCTGAATAATTATGTTTCCCATTCACTCACCCCTGCTAATCTTTCTCTGACAAGGTAATCCTTGAGCTCAGGATTTACTTGCTTGTGTCACTCACCAGAAGGCTTTAAGGCAGTGGTTCCACTGAAGCATCTCCTGGACTTGGATCACCTTTTCCTCTCTGCTGTTGTACTTACTGTCATTTTTCATTCCAGTAAAATCCCTGTGTGGTTTGGAAGCTTCCTGTGTCCCTACTGAGGAAGTTCTCTCCGTGTCAGGAGAATCCTGTGACAGCAGTGATGAGATGGATACCAAGGAGAGCATCAACGGGAGGGCTGCCTCGAGGAAAAAGAAGAGCAAAAGGCACAAAGGTGTGGTCACCTGTCATCCTAGGGCTCTGTGGGCTCCTGGTGTCCAGTATGGGGGATGCTCATGCTGGGGATTTACAGGATGGTCATGGGGCTCTTGGAGCATTCTGGAATTTGTGTGTGCACAAAGAAATGCCAAGGGTTTAGTCACTTGTAAATCTGCTGGCACTTGGTCACAAGAGCCGCATTTGCACAAAGGCACAGCCTGGGGCATGAAATCAGAGCCTGAGAGCTCCTTGCTTTTAACAAATATTCCTCAGCCTTGGAAAACAAACACTGCTATTCCAGAGTTGTGCAACATGGGGTGGTGGCAGCAGGTTTGCTTTGGGGTTGAAATGCTGCTGTCCATGATGCATTTGTTGGCAAAACACAAGCTCTGTTTTCAGTGTGTTTCCAAGGCTGTGGTTTGTTGCAAATGGGTTTACAGGGCTCTTTTTCCAGCAAGGAAGTGCATTTGATCCTAGTGGCACCTTAATACATTAATTCAAGGGAGATGTATCCTTCATCAGTTGCACTTTGTGCAACTCCATAGAAATCCATTGACAATGCAGTGTAAGCATCAAACAGCTCTGCTGGACTGGGGAACCCTGCGGAAGTTTCTAGTATCAAGTTGCTTTCAGGTTGAGAATCAAATTTTAACCAGTTTTCTTGAGCTTAATAGCAATTTACGTAGCACGTGATCATCCATCCACCACAGACTGAGGGTGGACAGTACTTCCTCTGGGAAGGGAGTTAAAAGAGGTTAACCTCTTTTATTAAGGCATCCTTCAGAATCCTGGCAAAATAATATCTGAGTGGCTGGAGCTGTGAGACTGGGAAGACAATATTCTGTTCTATCACAGCCTTGTCTTGTTTCTGCTACATGTTTAGGGAGGAAAAAATGGTGCTAGAACAGTGATGCTTCTGGCTGCCCTCTGAGTTCAGCAGTGTCAAGTTTGATGGCTTCTTGAGGCAGAGCTGACCCAGCAAAATGGGTGTAGCAGCCCATTGTGGGTGTGCCTGCCATAAATCTGAAGTGCTGTGGGGAAGTGATCACATCCAGAGCTTTCTTTGGCAGCTATCACATGAGGATAAAGAACTGCCCTTTGTATTAACCTGACGTCTCAGAGTTAGATCTGGCACCCTCAAGTTCCCAAACACCTCTTCTATGCCAGAGACCTCACAGCAGCTTTTCCTATTAGCATTGTGCACAAGTTGTGTTTTCCTTCTCTGTTCTTAACTTTCCTAATGCTCCATATTGTTCACCTACTTATATTCTTTAAAAGTATTTTTTACTCCTAAAGTTGGAGCAATTCTGTAGAAAAAAGTGTGGTGTAAACTACAAAACACTCCAGGAATGAAAGGAGTGTGAGCCCTCAGTTCCGGCTGAGCAGCTCTGACACCTCTGAAAGGAAGAACAGGCCTTTCTCTCCATCTGAATTGCATTAAAAGTTCACATCCAATAAGTTTTAATGAAATTAAGAGATTTAAGAAAATAAGCTGATTGCCAGATGCAGAACAGAATTTCCCTCCCTGACAGAGATCCTACCAAAATATTGTGACCACTGGAACAAAGACCTGGTGGTACCAACTGGACAAGCCTGGCAGTACCAATGATCACAGTCTTCATGTGTGAAGCTATTTTAGTGACCTGTTGAAAAATGTGCCCTTTTCATTAAAAATGCAGGAACTTGGCTCTCCTTTACATAAAGTTGCCTCTTTATTTGACATCCAGTTTTTATTTCTCAACTTCAGTGTGGTATTTCAGCTGTGCCAGGGTCAGGCATCACAACAGGGTCCAGAAAGGCTTTGTGGTTTCCATCCTTGCACACAGCACTCACTTGGACAAGATGCTGAACAAAATGACCTAATTGTGTATGCTTTGACCTGAGCTGCTGGATTAGAAACATCCAGAGAACCCTTTCAGCCTGAATTCCTTTATGAATCTGCCACTTTGCCCATTTGTGCAGTGGGGATAACAGTGGCAGGGGAGGTGTCATGGCTGCGTGGACACTGATGGGAACAGAGAGCAGGGCCCACTGAGGCTGTGCAGACTGGGGCTTGGGCTTTCCCTGTGTGTGTAAATCAGCGGCCCACGTGTGCTGCCAGGTGTGCAGCATGTGTCTCTGGGTGGGAATTGGTGCAGATGTGATGGCCCGTGCTAATACACCCTCGTTGCCTTTAGAAGATGCCGAAGGGGGAGGAGGAGAGGAATATCCCATCGACATCTGGCTGCTCCTGGCTTCCTACATCCGCCCTGAGGACATCGTCCGGTTCTCTCTGATCTGCAAGAAAGCCTGGACTGTCACTTGCACTGCTGCCTTTTGGACCAGGCTCTACAGAAGGTGAGACTCTAGAGGGTTTTAAAACTGGTTGTGGGAGGTGTCGGTAGAGAGCAGTTCTCTGCAGAGCTGGAAATAAGGGAATAATTCCCTGTAGGCCTGGGCCCTGTGTTTGCACATTGACGTGGTGATGTGGGCCGCTCTTGTGGAATATTCTTATCCCTCAAAAACAAACTGGGAGAGCTGGGGTTGTTCAGTCTGGAGAAGAGAAGGCCTGGAGAAAACATCCCTGTAACCTTCCAGTACCTTAAGGGGGCGTATAAAAGGCAGGCAGAGAAACTTTTTATGGGTGGGTGGTGACAGGGCAAGGAGTAATGGTTTTAAATTGAGGGCAGAGGGCAGGGTTAGATTGGATGTTAGGAAAAAATTATTGACTGTGAAGGCTGTGAGGTCCTGGCACAGATTGCCCAGAGAAACTATGGCTGTCCCATCCACAGTGGTATCCGAGGCCAGGCTGGAGCACCCTAGGATAGTTGAAGGTGTCCCTACCCGTGGCAGGGGGTGGAATGAGCTGAGCTTTAAAGTCCTTTCCAACCCAAACCATTGTACGATTCTAAAATCACATCTGCTTTGGGTATGGAAATGGATCTTTGTGGTGTATTCCTGTATGTTCCCTGTAAAATCTCAGAGCTTTATGTCCTTTTCTGCTTGCCATGGCCCAACACTTGTATATATCAACCTATCCAAGTGTGTATGGCATGGTCGGTGCTGAAAGGCAAATGTCATTGATGGACAACTTGCCCTGCCTCAAGCTTTAATCACAGTCACCTCCGTGTAATTTGGGAATTCTGGAGCTGTACAGTGACAGGAGTAAGTGAAAGCAGGGAGGGCAAAGGGGTTGTCAACACTTGATACAAATCCTTCTGTCCCAGTACATTCCACTGGGATATTCCTTCAGGAGAGAATATTTTCTTTACACAGCTCTACCTGTTGCCCAGGAGGCACAAGCAGCAGGGGCACAGAGTAGAGTGGCTGTGGTCATCCTTGCCCCTGGTTTTTAGTGTGACATTCCCTAGCAAAGGCTCCTTTGGAATGTGATCAAGTAATAGCCCTTGAGTGCAGGTGTTCAGGCTGCTCAGGCAGTACTGAGAGCTGCATTCAGTTCACCTGGGAGTCCCTGGGAACCTGCAGCAACCTGCAGCCCTTTGTGCAGCCTGCAGCTACATCCCCGGCTGGTCTCTGGGCAAACTACAAATTATTGGGAATTGTAGTAGGATGTGTGGGCTGGAAGCCTGCCTGGGGCAGGTCAGGGCTTTGAGCCTGCCATGTGATGTCCTGTCAGCAGCACGCCCTCCTCACAGCCCTCAGGGTTGACCAGAGTCCTGTAGTCTGTCATACGTGGAGTTTTCCCCTGGCACGGCTCTGTCCCTGCCCTGCCCTGCTGTGCCCTGGAGCTGACACCATTCCTGTGGGTTCTGCAGGCACTACAGCCTGGACGCGTACCTGCCCCTGCGCCTGCGCCCCGAGTCCATGGAGAAGCTGCACTGCCTGCGCGCCTGCGTCATCCGCTCCCTGTTCCACATGTACGAGCCCTTCGCCGCCCGCCTCTCCAGGAACCCAGCCATCCCAGACAGTACTCCCAGCACTTTAAAGAATTCCAGAGTAAGTGGCATCACTCAGGAGCTGGGATTTGTCTGAGGTGTTGCTGTTTCTGTTTGGTTTTTTCTTTCTAGAAGAAAAACAGATGATATGAAGATGGTCACCAGTGAAGCTGGTGTAGGATGTCATTAACTGGGTATTCTCAGTGGGATTTGTAAAAGTGGGCTGGTTACTTGTACCTGTAGAGTTACTCTTTGGAGTAACTTCTGCTTAAGTCCTACACTACACTATTTTAACCAGCAAAAGGGCCCTGGTATCACTGGATATCAGAACTGCCAGGGATGTTTGCAGCTTCCCTTCTTCTGATCAAGGCTCCATAGGATCAGCTTTTATATGTTTTGCTTTATTCTGACACTGCCAGAGTACATCTTCTCTCTGTAACAGGCCTCTGGAGAGCTCAGGAGTGACACTGATGTCAGGAGCTGTGTCACCCTGCTTTCCTGCAGGTCATCCATGGTCTGGTGTGTGGGTGAGGTGGGGTGGTGATGCTGGGGTGAGCATGGCAAATGTGCAGAGCCAGTGTCTGCTTTGGGACTGGGCTGCACTTGTGTTGGGCTGTGAAGGGTTTGTCTGTGGTGTGGGCAGGTAATTCCCTGTGCTATCCCAGCTTGGAGCACTTGCATATCATTCCTCTTTAATTGCTGTTGACCATTAACTCTGAAATGCCTTTGTGTCTCTTGTTTGGTTTGAACTTGCAACTGGCCAATAATCTGTGAGCAGCTTAAACAACGATGTGAATTCTCTACCCTCCAAATCCTAGGTCAAAAACCTGTTGAAAGAGGTTTTTGGAGCCACACTGAAGTTGGTTTCGTTGAGGAGTTGTTCTTTCTCTTCTGTTCAAAATAGAGGAGCCTCATCTATCTGTACATGACATCCCACCTTTCTTCCTTCCTCTCCCTGTCACAGGCTGTCATGGGCTTGGGGAGCATCCAGCAGCACACAGGAGGTGGTGCTGCAGCACAGGGAAAAGCACATGGCTCTGTGTGCGGTCTTACTCTGCATCCAGAGCTCCTCATTCTCTTCCTGAGTCCCCAGGCTGGGGATCTTCGTTCTTACCAACTGAAAAAGCAAAACACTTGGAGGAAATTCCAGTAGTCCTGAGCCCAAGCTGCCACTGCTAGTGGCTGTAGGAGCTGAAACCCCAAGGCAGTGCTGGCAGGGTTGACATTTCGGGAGGATTCCTGGTGACATCATAACGGCTTTGGTGCCCACTGCTAGTGCTTCTCCTGTACTAACAGATGGAGGAGGATCCTTTAAGTGCAGTCTTTCATTGTTCAGCTTTTAAAAAAGGAAATTAAATGGGGACAAGACTTTGTCAGAGCAGTAGAGGTTTGACCTAACCCCTTGCAGCATGAAAGAGCCACCCTGAGTGTGGTCTTGCTGTACTACTGCACTGCAGGACTCTGAGCTCCACTTGTGTGACTGTGCACACAAATCCCTCAGCACAGAGGGTTTGGAGGAGGACCTGGCACTGCCTCCCCACGTTCTGGCTTTCCTGGGCTTTGGTTGTACCTTTGTGGGTTGCTGACACTAACGGCAATGCCTACCTAAACTGCATGTGGCTAGAGGAGAGCCCAGCCCCGGGTGTTATCCAACCTAGCTTTTCCTCTTTAATTTCCTTTTTTCTTTCCCTAGCCTAGCTTGTGTGGGACACTGGAGCCGTTATGGTGTCAGCAGAGGTGTTTGCCCTTTAAAGACACCCCATTATTTTGGGCGGAGCGGCCCCGCACGGCGCGTCTGAAGGGCAGGACGGCTGACCCGAGGACGACATCCTCTGCCCCTTAGGAGGTACTGACCTTTTGTGCTTCACTACTTGCCATGACCAAACAGGTTGCTAGACCAGGCTGCCTCTGCAGGTGAACTACAAATCCCACTGATGGTGGAGTTAAACTCAGCAGCATTTGCTGCTCATCTGAGTTCAAAGATATGGAGAATGTTTTTATTGGAAAAAACCTGAGGGCTGCTTCCTCCCAGGTGGAGGTATTCCATGCGTGTTTCTGAGCTTTACTCCACAGAGCTTTGTTGTTCACCTCATGAGGATTGTGGAGAAAAAAGGTCTTTTAAGGACTTGTTTGTGGATGTGACTCAGAGTTGAAGTAGAGGGTCTTGTATCCCCCTTGGTCTCTTCAGAGCCCCTGTAGTGGAGGCTGGCTCTGGCTTAGTTTTATTAGGATCACTCCGTCCTGGAATGAAGTTAAATGTGTGCTTTGTCCTGCAACCTAGTCAGGCCTTCTCTCTTCAGGACAGACTGTGTATGGATCACAGGGATTTCTCTTTACCCACATTATTATTCCTCCTTTACCTGCTGACACTGATGAAAGATAAGACCAGCTGTGATGGGCTGGCATCTGTGGTGTGGAAAAGCTTTGTGGGATGGCTGGACTGACTTGTCAGGTTCTTTCCTTAGCTGTTGAAGGCTGGTTGCTTGTACTATGACTGGCAGGCAGGGATTTCCCTCCTACAGGAGTTTTTCTGAGCCTTCTGCTCTAGAATGAGCTCCTGGGCTGGAGCCTGTGGCCCACACAGTGATAACCAAGTGAAATTGGAGCAGTCCTGGTGTATGTCTGCGTGAGAGAGCAGTGCTGGTGACTTCTGAGGCTCTTTGAGGCTGGTTTCTCATTTTCTTTTGAAAAGAGACAGAAGGTTGGTCAGACTGTGCTGTCCTGGCAGTGGTTTTGGACTCGAAATGATGACAGTCAGTGCTGGTAATGGCAAGGTCAGGGTCTCCATTTGACACCACAATGGCTTAGGAACTTCTTCATCCATCACCTCATAGCTCATGTTGGGGTCTTTGCATTTCCCTCTGGATCCTTTCCTTCTCAATCCTTATTCTGTTCTCTCTTGTTCCTCGCTTTAACCTTGTTTGGAACCCAGTTTAATGGGAGTTGCTGGTGGGTAGAGGGAATGGGTGAACCTGCGCCACTCATACCTGCCCTAGGAAAGGGACAAATTGCACATCAGGATTTTGCTGTTTGGCACATCAGTGACTACGTGTTGCATGAGGAGTTGGCCAGCTTGAAACTGGGAGATCTACACTACTGACAGGGTTCTTTCAACATAATTAATTTGAATAAGCGGCTCCTAATTACTCCTATGTAATTGTGTTTTCAATTGGAAGCCTTCATGATCTGTTAAAACTTATTTAAAGTGGTGCTTCTAAGGGTTTCATAATTTTGTGTTTCTTTTTTCCACCTCAGTGTCTGCTTTTCTGGTGCAAAAAGATTGTAGGGAACAGACAAGAAGCAATGTGGGAATTCAACTTCAAGTTCAAAAAGCAGGTATGAAAGAACCAGATCAGCTGTGACTTGTTTGAAGCAGAAATTATTTTTGGGGGGTTGGGGGGGTAGAAGGGAAGTGGAAACTTTTTGTCCATTCAGAGAATAAATACAAACAGATTCCTGTGGTAAACTGAAGCACGTTGTGCAACTACACTCAGTTTTCAGTCTGTGTTATCAAGACATTTAGAATCCCACATTTTTATTTCCTCCTTTGGTATCCTTTCCCTGCTATAAGATGTGGATCATCACCGCTGATTGTTACCAAAAACCAGACTGTCTGACTGCAGTGGTCAAAATGTTGACCAAAATCTGAAACTTCTTGTTATGCCATTGCCAAGATTTCTCAGAGAAGTGAAGGCAGCCAGCACTGCCAGGGAAAGCCTCCAGTAGTGGGTGTTGGGAGAAGCCAGTAATTTCAGGCAACCTTGGGAATTGTGCAGCTTTCCCCTCTAAAGAAATGGTTCTGAAAATTGCCCATCCTGAGTGACGGCATTTTGTTATTATTGTGACACTTTGCCCAAATACCTGGGGAGGAGGAGAGAGACCCTGCCAGGCCACACTGGGGAGGAGCAGCCAAACCCAGCAGAGGTTCCTGCTTTTCTAAATCGGCCTCTCTTTCTTTCAAGTCTCCCAGATTTAAGAGCAAGTGTTGCAAAGGTCTCCAGCCCCCAATCCAGTATGAGGAAGTGCACACAAACCCTGATCAGGATTGCTGCCTGCTGCAGATCACCACCTTCAACTTCATCTTCGTGCCAATCGTCATGGGCATGACCTTCACCTTGGTGAGTGGGAGAAAGCTGCCAGGCTTTGCAGATGAGGTTCCTGTAAGGACATGAAGTGAGCACCTGGAATCTCCTGTGTTGGAAGGGACTCACTGGGTCCCCTACTCCTGGTCCTGCACAGGACAACCCCAAGAATCCCACCCAGTGCCTATTTTGGGCTGTATAAATCCTACTGCTGTATCAGCAAACCAGTTCTGGGAATCATATGGTTAATTAAGAGAGGAAGTGCTCAGAATCTCAGTTTAACTTCTCCATTTCCGTTGGCTCTTCCCTGTTTGGTGCACTGAATAGAGAGGATGTAGAGAATGTGCCAGGAGCTGTGGCTGTGCAGCGTCTGGCTGCAGGTGTTACCAGAACTGCAGCAGGTACAGGAGACAGGGAGCAGTACAAGTGGAGGTCTGCCCCTCACAGGAATATCTCTTTATGGCAGTAAATTCTGAGAGGAAAATCTCACATGAGGAAACTCTTTTGACTGTGTGTTTGGTCCCTGATTGGAAGTAAGGGTTTCAGAAGTGGCCAGTACTCAGTAGAGGTTCTGTGTGGCCTCACTTAGGGGCTGGGCAATGAGTTCCAGACTTCTCCTGACAGCCGCTTGCTTCCAGGTTCACTTAGAATCAGAGTCATAAAATTACTTAGATTGGAAAAGACCTTTAAGATCAAGTCCCAGCACTGCTGTGTTCACCCCTAACTCATGTCCCAAGTGCCACATCCACAGGCCTTTTGAACACTGCAAAGGATGGTGATGCCACCACTGCCCAGGCAGTTCCAGTGTTCTTTGACATCCCTTCCAGCTTCCGGCAGGATTATTTGGGACTGCCAGCCAGCCAGCTGGTTTGGATACAGTGCTGTAGCCTAGAGAATGTGACTGTGAAACACCCTGTACAATTCAGAGGAATTTATAGTCTAGAAGTGTCATGTTGAGAGCTCTCTTGGTCACTGTGACTCTCTGAAGCAGCTCTGGTCTCCTCTCTTGCAGTTCTCCATCTCGGTGAGCACGGACATGCGGCACCACCGCGTGCGCCTGGTGTTCCAGGACACGCCCGTGCGCAACGGGAAGAAGCCACGCGTGGAGCAGGGGGTGCAGGTGGTGCTGGACCCTGTGCACAGTGTCAGGCTCCTGGACTGGTGGCACCCACAGTACCCCTTCTCCCCAAAGGCTTAGTGCTCTCCTGAGGCTGCAGGAGCCCACAGGGGACTGAATCTGGCAGGCTGAAGAGAATTTCTAGGAACCAGGAAATCCTATTTTTATTTCTGAAATAAATTCTGCAGTCTCCTTGCAAGTGGTTGAAGCTGCTGAGCTAGTTTGTATGTATATAACTTCTGGTCAGTAATGAGCAGAGCTGAGTGTAAAGCAGAAACTATTTGTAAACACACTTTTATGTAAAATTGACATTTTATGATTTGAAAGGAGCTCCCTGGAACTGTTCATTTAAAATCCTTTTGGTGCTAATCAAAGTGGTCTTGTGTTCTCTTCTTCGGGATGAAGTAGGAGGTTTTGCTTTCCAAGAACTTTCCTTTTTGCTTTCCAGGAACAATCAACAAACAAAATCCATGTTTGTTTTACTGCAGCAGAATTGTGTTCCTGCACAGTGTGATATTTCAGTGTCTGAGAAGCAGTGAGCAAGACAGCAGTCATCAACAATAATCTTAATTCCCAGCCCAGCAGATCCCAGTTTAAGGAAAGAAAGGCATAAATGATCAAACAAAGGAATTACTTGAAAAAGGAGTTGTAAGGCAAAAGTATGTAAAGGTACTTAAGTTCTCACACTGGTGTTTTTCTTTGAAAATGAGATCTAAACTTTTAAAACTAGAAAGTGCTTTTCAGAGAACATAAACAGGGAGGGAGAGGAGGGGACAAAGTAAAATAACTGAAGCAGTGATGAAGGACTCAACCCTTTGTCTTTTCAAAGAGCAGTGTGGAAATATTCTCCATTGAAAGCCCCCAAGCAACCACTGATCTGGCTTTTGATTTCTGTGAGGAAGAAGCAACCATGAAGCTTCCTGTGGTTCTGGGCTGACTGAGAAGTGAGGGGTACAGGGCCTGTCAGAAATGTAGTCTGACCAGAAGGAACGTGGCTGGAGGTTTAATTGAACACGTGGCTCCCTGGGAAGGTTCACAGGAGGTGCTGCAGGGTAGGGGAGCAGCTGTGCAGGTACAGACCCTGGACTGAGCTTTGCTGCTTATCAGATATCAGCTCCTCAGTTATACTGCACAACACATCTGGTTCCAAGCAGGAGGAACAGTACTTGTCCTTGTAGAATGTTCAGTGAAGCTCACGGAGGAGAGGGAGTTCTGCCATCTCGGTTTGGACTTGGTGGTCTTTGAGCTCTCAGTGGGTCCCTTCCAGCTCAGAATATCCAGTGGTTCTGTGACCCCACATGACCCTCCTGTAGCTGATCAGGAGTTTCTTGCCACTCTGTAAATCACCACTAAAGGACATCTGCCCTGACCTTGGATCTATGTTGGAGGCTCTTCGTGTTGACTTCAAACACATTTGTGACAGCTTCTGCCTCACAGTTCCCCTTTCCACCACTGCTGAACTTCTGTTGATGCCACAGGTAAGTTTTGAAGTTAAGTTGGTTTATTAGAGATAAAAGGCAAGAAAAATGTGCTGTCTCTGTGCTCCTGGGGCTGCCATGATAGCAGAGCCTGGGCTGTGTTGTGGTTGTGGTGCAGGAGAGGCAGGACAAGGTCGGGGCTGGAGCTGTGTGTAAGGGCTGCAGGGGCTGCAAGGAAGCTGCTCCAGGGCAGTGGGGGACAACAATCTTTTGCTGTGGGGTTAAACACCACTGAAGATGGGGACAGGTGGTAAAGCTCAGGCAGTGAAATGTGGTCAGGCTGTAGTTTCTGGTTGTCTTGGCGGCGGGGGGAGTGAGGTGGCTGCTTACTCAGAGCATGGTTCTGGCTGTGCTTCAGGCTGTTACCTGCTCTGTTCCCTGAAAACTCTCATGATGATGCCACGGCTATGTGCCTGGTGATTGCTGTTTATGCAGGCTCTGGAGGGTGGGAGCAGAGGGGTTTGGTTCCTGGCTCAGGCTGATGGCAGGGGCATGGAGCAGGCTGGTGTCTGTCTGAGGCTGTGCCCTTACCTGTGGGGAGCTGCTCGGGCTGAGCAGGGCTGGGAACGCCAGCCTGGGCCCTGCTCTGGCTTCTGTGCAGAGCTACAGAACAGCTCCTAGGGCTGTGTGTTCCTGCCATCTGGCAAAGCAGGAATACCTTCTGATCAGGCATATGGCAAATCCGGGGGCAAAGGTGCTTGGCAGCTCCAGAATTCCCTGGCTGATCCCAGGCGGTGCAGCCGGAGCAGGCAGCACAGGCTGTGACAGCAGGAAGCAGGTGGATGGGATGTTTCCTGCTACCAACAGACTCGCTGGATTCAAATATGAATATTTAGATACAGATGCCCCTAAGCCAGAGGTGCCCCTCCCAGGCCAGGCTTTTTGTAGATTGAAGTGTATAAAACGTACAAGAACAATTCTCAGTCTTTTCCTTTACGAAGCTCCCAGTGATCCTGGTGCTGGAGCTGTGCTGATCAGCAGTGTTGGCAGGGAGTGGGAACCTGTTCTGATCCATGCTGGGAGGATGGGGAGTGGCAGGGATGCAGTGGAGGGGGGAAGGACCCTTGGTCCTTACCCAGAGCTTCAGACCCTGAACCCTGGGCTGAGGTTTGCTCAATGAGGGAGTGACACCAAAGCTCAGCCATGAGCAGGGGATTTCCCTGGCCCCTGAGCCCAGCCTGTCTTGAAGCTTGATTGCCAAAAAAAGTTGTCTTCAGTGTCCTCCAGGGTAGGATGCAGTGAGTGCACTGGCAGGAGTGGCTGTGGTTTGGTGCCACCCATTTCTGTAGGACATGGCTCAGAGGGGTCCTTGGTGGTGTGGAAATGGAGCCCCAGATCAGCATCACGGTGGCTCTCCCTTCTGTGAGGCCCTGTTCTGCCTTTGCTTTGTCCTGCTCCTGAATAATGGAAGGGCTGTAAACAGATCCTGCCTAGGTTTCCTAGGGGAGACAGGAAGACTTGGCCACCACCTTCACCCTGCTCCTGATCTTTGTCAGGGATCCGGTGTCCAACAGGAGCTGAGCTGGATAAGGTGAGGCCTGCAGGCTTGGGGAAGGGGGCTAGGTCCTTCTGTGGGCCCCCTTGTGCCTGTCCTATCCCAGTCCCTCCGCTCTGGCCTCAACTGGGAGAACTGGTCCTCCCTAGCCCTCTGAGCTGGGTGTGCCTGTGCAGCCACAGGGCCCTCTCAGAGCAGCCTTTGCACCTGGGGCTTGTCTTTCTTCTTCAGCTTATTATAAAAGCAAGCAAAAATGTGCCTTTTAGCCTCATTTCAGCCACCTCCCTGTTTCCCCTGGTCAAATATTAAGGTGAGCAGAGTATGTTTGGGTTTGGGGCCAGAGGGAAGTTTGAGAGCAGCCTTTGGTGCCAGGCTCTGGTTGGTTCCTGGGCACTGGGGCTATGCTATGGCACTCACAGGGTGGCAGGTGAAGGGACACTTTTTCAGCACCCAAAAACCATTTGGGACTTGCTCCATAACACAAAGCGGGGACTGGATGAACTGGCTCAGGCTGGACTTGTGGCACTTGCTTTGAGAGCAAGAGGACCTGTTTGCCTGGGCACCAGGAGCTGTGTCCTAGACGGATTCCTTTCCTGCTCCAGGCCCACTCGTGGATGTCCCTGAAGAGGGTCAAATCCTGCCCTAGCACTGCACCCTGAAGCAGCCTGTGGGGACCAACAAGGAATTTGGTGGCTCTCCTGCTCCCCTTGGCAGTGCTGGCTGTTCTATTGGCAGGGCTGCTGCACCCCAAGCGTTGGGGACCCAGCGCTGTGCTGGGTGTCACAGCCCTCCCCCTCTTCCTTTCTGCAGGGGCAGGAAGGACCAGATTTCCTTCCTGTGCAGGGGTGGGGGTCAGGGGCAGCTGTGGTGAGAAAAGCCCTCCCCCTCCTGCAGCTGCCGCCAAGCCCACAGTCCTTCCCACCCTGGGCCACTGAGCAGCAAAGCTCTGCTGGGCTGCACCATCCCAGCTGCCTTGTCGCCCCTGGAGTCCTCCAGCCCCTGCGCAGGTGGGAATCTCAGACTGCCTTTGCTCCAGTGCAGGTGGGGTGTCCCCACTGGGAAAAAGCCACTGCCATCCCACCATAGGAATTTAAGGATTTAAACCCAAACGATGTAGGAAAAGCAAAAGCCACCAGATCCGGGAGCCTGGGGACATCTCTTCTGCCTTCCCAGCACCATCACCTGCTTCCTGCTCTGCCTTATCTCTCTCACAGAGGTGTTCCAAGCTCCATGTGCTCCCACGGGAGCAGCTGGGGCTGGAAGTTGTCATGGGGGATTTGTAGAAGATGGAGCCTGGCAAGAGATGCAAGGTCTCCCTGAAGGTAGGAGCGGTCCAGGCCAGCAAGGAGAGAAGGGAAGTAGGGGGAAGGGGAAGGGGAAGGGGAAGGGGAAGGGAAGGGAAGGGAAGAGGTTTCTGCTCCATTGGGCTGCTGTGGGAAGGAGCTGATCTGGTTGGGAGCTGGGGACAAGCAATGCCATTGATGACTCATGGATGCTCCAGAGCCATGTTCCTCCTCTGGGTCTGGAGGAGGGAAGCAGTGGGAGAAAAGGCTGGGAAAAGGGGGAGCTGGGAACAAACCGGGCCCCATGTGGCCCACATTGGTTCACTGGGATCAGAAAGGGCTTCATTCCCAGCCCAGCTGTGATGCCCAATGCTCCAGTGAGGAGCTGGAGTGTGTGGGGAAGCTGTGGTGTCCTGGGGCTACATCCCAGGTGGGATCCAGGCTCTGCCCTGGTCCAGGGTGCCAGGCGTGCAGTTCTGGCTCTGCAGCCCCAGAGGTTTTTGCCACCTCAGCACAAGAGCTGGAAAATAAATGGGCAAAAAGCTGTGCCAGCTCCGTGTCACCAGCTCCTGGCTCGGTGAAGCGTCAGGTTCGTGCCAGAGTTTGGGATGCTGGGGCTTGGCAAAGAGCCCCCAGCGGGGGTTAGTGCTGCCCAGGAGACTGACTGGAGCTGCCTGCGAGGATGGGGTCGGTGGGACACAGCTGATGCCATCCTGGGATGCCCGTCCGTGAGGCTGTCGCAGGTCCCACAGTGGGCTGGGGGCCCCTGGTCCGTCCCATGTGGGTCCCCGCCGACCTGGCCGGTTCCCCGAAGCTCCTGGGACTGAGGCCGCCGGCGGACGCTCCTCCTCTGCGGGAGGCAGGCAAGGACTCGGGGTGTGGCTTTACCGAGCAAGAATTCAGAGTCCGGCCAGCCTGGGGAAGTTGCGAGGGCCGAGCACGCTGGAGAGGCGAGGCTGCCGCCCACCCGTGAGTCTCTGCCCTCGGTGGGTGCGTCCAGAGGAGGCTGGCCAGGAGCCATCTCCTGCTTCCATGGGAGCGGGTGCCTGGGGACCGGGGATGAGGGCAGGGGGCTGGGCTGGGGGTTCCCCAGCTGTCAGCGGTGGAGACAGGATCGGTGTGTCCCTCCCTGCAGGGACCTCCCTGTGCTGTGGGACACCTGAACCGACCGAAAGCTTTGTCCCCCGGAGCCGTGTGCTACTAGAAGAGGGTATTTCCCCTCCTTTGTCCCTGTAGGACAACCCCTGGAGCAGAGACACGTACAGTGGGGCCAGACCCTGGCCTGACTCCCAGGGGGCCCAGGAGCCCCCATCCCCCACAGTCCCGAATGGCCACAGTTTGCCCATGGGGGCCGTTGTGCTACCACGATTTGCAGTGTCCCCCACCCATTTCTGGTGCTGGGTTCCATGCCAGCCCTTTCCATCCCGGGGACCCTCAGGGCGGGGCACTGAGCTGTGCTGCAGGAGAGCTGGTGTTTACCCTGCTGGGTGACACAGCCTTTGTCTGTGCCTCAGTTTCCCCCAGCATGGAAAGGCACTCCTGGCTGTGGGAAGAGACCCCTTGCTGGTCCCTTCTCATTGTGCAACCAGCCCGGCTCTCCCCAGTGCTGGTGGAAGCAGCTGGAGCTGCCTGCACACCGGGAGCTTCCTCCGAGCCTCGTGGGACTGAGGCTGGGAATGGACTGTTCCTTCCCCCTGCCCTGGACTGAGGCTGGGGAGGAGTTTGGCTCCACACAAGTGGCTCTCAGCTCCTCCTGGCCAATGTCCCCACAGTGAGGTGGCTTTTGGGGACATCTGCAGTGGGGTGCTGGGCTGTGGGGAAGGTGCATGAGGTGCTTGGAGCAGAGTGTGGGGTCAGGGATACTCTCTGGAGGTACTTTGAGCTGGAGCAGAAGGATGCTGCACCCCTGGTTGTGCCCACTTACTTGGGCTGCTTTGTTCCTCCATGGAGGCAGAAATCCAAAGTCCAATTACGGGGTTAATTATGCAGCTGCACTCCTTACCTTCTGTTCTGTGCCGGTGACCCCTGTTCCCCATGGGCTGCCTGCTCCTTGGGTGAAGCTGCTCCTGTGGGAGCTGAGGGTGCTCAGCAGCATCTTGTTTTCCATGCAGGATGAGCCGCTAGCAGCCAGACATTCCCCAGCAGCCAGAAAAACCTTTGGCCATCCAGAGTGGCCAAATGCCCAGCCTGGCATGTGGCCAGGTCTCGCCCTTCCCAGCTCACCCCGTGGCCCTGGTTGTAGATCCCGGAGGTCCAGGCTTGGAAATCCACGTCCAGGGTGGCATCAGGGTGTGATGTCCCTGTGGCTCGGACAGATCCCTAATGCTGCTCCCCCTGAGCTGGTGAGGTCCCCCATGTCTCCAGATCTGTAAGGGATGGAGAGGCCACACTCTCTGCTGGGACCTGGGATTTTGACAGAGATTTTTGAGCAGCTCCAGGAGCTGCTTGTCTGCTGCGAGTCAGCCCTGCCCTGCCGGGGAGCGCGGCTCTCTGGCTCCGAGTGTTTATCTCCAAGGGAGGAGCCGTGTCCCTGGGCGGGGTCAGTGCTCCAAGGGCGAAGTGCCTGTGGATCGGATCGGGGCCACCTGCTCGGCGCCAGCCTCTTGGGGAGCTGGCAACCCCTCCAGAGGACTCCTGGGCGCAAAAACGAGGGTTCTCCTTAAAATAAGCCCAGCACACGCTTCAGGGCAGTGGCCCCAGAGGTGCTGTGCTCCAGTCTGTGGGCCCGCGGGTGGGCTCAGAGCATCCCCTCCACAGCGGTGGTTGGGGCAGGAAAGTATTTAGGGCACCGTCCTAGGAAGCCCAGCCTTAGTTTGGGAATGCTTAGGAGGGCTTTTCCTCCACGTTTCCATTCAAAGCTGCTTTGACAAAGCCAAGTCACTGTAAACAGTTTGGATGGGGCTCAGGGTGTCTGCCCCTTCAAGCTGGGCACTTGCCCAGGCTCAGCTGCTTCTCTTCCAGGGCAGCAATGTCATATTTATAATGGAAAAAAACCAGGCAAACACAGGAGCCTTTTAGCCTCCTGCCACAACTCTACAAAGTACAATATCTCAAGTTCACTGCAACTTACTTGAAGGTGACACTATCCCCTCAGGCTCACTTTTCTTGCTGGGACAGGGCAAGCTGGTGCCTGCCTGGAGGAAAGTGGGGAGCTGCTTCCTCCTCACAGTGCTGGAAGAGCACCCTGGGCCCATTTGAGACCTGAGTGTTTCCCAGGGCTTGGTGACAAATCCTGGGGTGTTGGTGACTGGTCGTGGCGTGTCTCCATGACCCAAAAGTTTTTTCTGAGGCCCTGTCCACCTGCATTTCTTCTGCTTCCAGCTCCGGAGTGCTGCTTGGGGTGTCCCAGGGCAGCCGAGGTGTCCTGGGGCTGGTTTGGAGAGATTTTGTGCCTGGCTGATTTTATCCTGGTCAGGTTGGGGTGTCCCTGTCCCTGCCTGCCCAAAGGGGACAGTGCACAAGTGTCCCCTGATGCCCCATGGCTGCCCACAGGTGTGTACCTGTGGGTGCTTGGAGCAGGGGGTCAGTCCCAGGGGTGTATCCGGGTGCTGTCCCATTGTCCTGTCCTGGGGGTGGTGGCTTTCCACAGGCTGTGCCCTGACATGTCCCCTCTCCCCAGGCCTCAGCCAGCAGGGGCCATGCGATGCTCCCTGAAACGCTCCCTCATGGTTCTGCTCGCTGCCTCCTTCCTCCTCCTCCTCCTCCATGGGGGCAGTCGGCAGGAACAGGATCCCCTGGAGGTGAGTCCCCAACCAGTGACTTCCCACTGGAGAGGCTAGTGGGGCATCCTCTATCCCTTCCTGCCCAACATGAACCCCAGCCTCAGCTCTGCTCTCTTCCCTGCTCCATGTCATCCTGAACCCCAGACTCTGCCTTCTCCTCTCCCTAGGGTTGCCCTGGGCAGCTGGACCCCCCTGGATCCAGGGAGGGTAGGACAGGGGCTCCCCTTCACTTCTGGTTCCCCTCTTGTCATGCCCCCTTGCTGCATGGTGCTCTGGGGTGTGACCTGTTGCCTGTGACTCCCATGCAGGTGCAGCTCAGCCTGGCTCCCTTGCAGGACACGATCCTGCAGCTGCTGCAGCCAGAGGGAGCCCAGCACATCCTCAGGGACACAGCTGAGCTCTCTGCACTCCACAACATCTCCTACCGGCTCCTCGCTGGCTCCCCGGCTCCCCGAAAAAGTGAGTGGTTCTGGACCCTCTGGGTATGCACATCTGGGTGTGCACAGCTGCACATCCCAGCACGGACCTGCCCTCTTACTGCTGCTGGGGCAGGGAGGGGCTGTGTCCCGCCTTTTTGGGTGGGGACCTGCTCACAACCTCCACAGCCTTCACTGCTCGCTCTGGGGATGGAGGGGTTGGGGAAGCTCCACATGCTGCACGCTGGGTCCAGGTTTCTGCAGCTTGGGACTGGGGTGATCACAGGTGTTTAGGTCTTTCCAGACCTCTCTTTGAGGGGTTGCTGAGATCCCATCTCCCTGGGGGTTGAGGTTCCAGTGGAGATGGTGAGCTGGACCACTGGGACAACCCCAGAGTGTGGGAGGAGTGAGCCAAGCTCTTGGACAGGGCACAGGAAGCAATTCCCATGCAAACCCTGTGGGAAGTAGCTCAGGGCAACCTGTGAGGCTGTGCTGGAACCAGCACAGGAATGGTGTTGTCCTAACCATCAGCAAGAAAAGCTGAATCAAGGTAGCCATGGAGAGGACACAAGGTGCCTGATCCCAGTGCAGGTGCATCTCCATGAGGTGTGGAGTGGGGAATGCTTTCAGGATGTGCACCCATACCAATAGGCCATTCCTGCCCTATGGACTCTCTCTCTGCACTGTTACTTGCCTTGGTATGGCTTTTTTAGGTGTTTTTCAGGAATATTTCTTCAGTGAAGCCCCTGCCTCCTCAATCTGCCTCTTGCTGCCATTTGGGCCAATTTTGGGCCCCTCCTGAGATGCTGAAGGCTTCAGCTTCAGGAAGGAGCCACTGGCCTTAGACATGGGATTACAAACAGCACTGACCCTGGAGGCTGGCCATGGGAAGAGGTTTTTGGAGCCCTTTCATTACATCTTGAAGGGAAGAAGATGTGGTGATCCCAGGTCACCCCTCTGCCTGTTCATGCCTTTCCTTTACCTTGCAGAATTCCTGGCAGTGGGAATGTCATCTGTGCAAAGGCCACGTGGCTTCTACCTCCTGGCCACGCTCCAGTCCCTCTTCAGCCAGTCTACAGAGGAGGAACTGCAGGAGATGGTGGTGGTGGTGCACCTGGCTGACACTGATCCTGGCTGGAATGTGCGTGTTGCCGCCACCATCGCCCAGAAGTTTGCTCGCCACATCCTCCTGGGACGGCTCCTGCTCATCCATGCTCCCCCTGAATTCTACCCCACCCTGGAAGGCCTGAAGAGGAACTTCAACGATGCAGAGGAGCGGGTGAGGTTTCGCTCCAAGCAGAATGTGGACTATGCCTTCCTGCTTGCCTTTGCCGCCAACCTCTCCTCCTACTACCTGATGATTGAGGATGACGTGTGGAGCGCCAGGTCCTTCCTGACGGCCATCCGCAGGGCAGTGGCTTCCCAGGAGGGCTCCAACTGGGCCACCCTCGAATTCTCCAAGCTGGGCTACATTGGAAAGCTCTACCGCTCCAGTGACCTTCCTCGCCTGGCTCAATTCCTCCTCCTCTTCTACCAGGAAATGCCCTGTGACTGGCTGCTAGTCCACTTCCGCCAACTGCTCACTCAGAAGGACGTGATCCGCTTCAAGCCATCCCTCTTCCAGCACATGGGCCTCTACTCCTCCTTCCAGGGCACCATCAACCGGCTGGAGGACGAGGATTTCCAAGCCGACGCCTTGGACCTCCCAGACAACCCGCCAGCATCCCTATACACCAGCATGTCCATTTTTGAGAACTATGAGCCCCTCAAGGCCTACAGTTCGGCACAGGGGTACTTTTGGGGCAAAGACCCAGCAGCTGGCAGTACTTTTTCCGTCGTGTTCCAGCAGCCAGCCCGAGTCAGCCGTGTCCGGGTGCGCACGGGCTCCGTGGAGCGCCCAGGTGATTTCCTGCGTGCAGGGCTGCTGGAGCTGGGCCAGCGCCGGGACCGCAGCCGGGACTGCTCCTCCTACATCCCTGTGGGCTCCTTCGAGAAGGGAACCCTGGAGCAGCGGGGCCTGGAGAGGGTCCTGCCTGGGCCCGTGGAGTGCGTGAGGATCCGGGTGACGCAGGACCAGAGCGAGTGGCTCATCATCCAGAGCATCGACATCTGGACCACAGCAGGCACTTAAGCATAACACCTGTGGCAGGATGTCAAAGCCCCTGGATTTGGTTCCTTTATTTTTCACATTGCCGTTTTGGATAAGAAATTAAGTTATTGGCTCTCACTGGTCCATGTCTGGAGAGATGGGAACCACTGATGTGGGCTGTGGATGGGTTTAGGAGCAGGGCACATCAGAATGTACCTGCTGGAGGATGCCCCAATGAGCCAGGGAGGGGGGCACAGGAAGGGAAAGGGGCTTGGATATCAAGGCTGAGCAGTAGAAAACCTTTCCTCCCAGGAAGGATGATGTACAGGACAAAGCTGATCAGCCAATTAACAAACCAAATAATTAATCAGGCAGTGGTATTTTTTGGAGCCTCTCCACACCTTACCTGCTTTAAGTTTTCTAACCTTTTCCAAAACTCGATTTCTAACTCCCCCCTTTCTGATCCCATTTCCTAGCTGCTCCTGGAGGGGTCAGGGGAAAGTCTGGGGGTGCTGCTCACCAAATCCTTCACCCTGCAGGTTCAGCAGGTTCGTGGCCGCAGCAAGCTCCCACTGGTGCCCGGCCGTTTCCCGGTGCCGATCGGGGGCGACGGCCACCAGATGGACCCATCGGCCCGGCCCCGAGCACCGCCTCCCCCGGCGCTCCTTGTTCCCGCCCTCGAAGGGAAAAAAACAATTCCCAGGGACCTCACTTTGTGGTTTTGCGGGGTTCACACGGAGCGAGAAGGACAGTCAAGATGGGGCTTCTAGAAAGGTGAGGAAGGCACAGAATTGAGCTCTAGGGAACAAAGATAAGCCAAGGAAAATGTGACCTCGGTGTAACGAGAAGCTGCGGGTCCTTTTTAGCCCAGTGAGGTGCTGAAGGGTAATTGGGGTACACAGCTCCCAAAAGCTGCTGTTTGGGTTTGTCTGGCAGGGTCAGCTTGGAGGGCTGGATGCTCCACTAGCAGCTGCGGGCCCCAGCATGGAGGGCAATGACTGGCACTTCTCCCATTTAGGCTTTTAGCAACAATTTCTCAGCTTCCTGCAAAGGAAGAATTCTAGTCTGCTCAGCATTCCCATGGGATAGCCCAGAGAAATTAAGTCACTAACCTGTGCTAAGCAGGACTCTGGTCTGCCCATGTTCCAAGCCTGGCTTTCCTGGAGCAGGACAGGGACAGTGCCAGGGACACTCATGCAGCGCCGTAACCACAGCTCTGGTTTGAGGTGGCATGAGCTCACCTGCTGGGCACTGGCAGGCAGATGGAGAGCCCCAGACCTGGCATGATGGGGTTTTTCCCCTGAAAAAAAAACACTCAGGTAGTAGATCTTTGCATTTAATATGGAGGTGCTAGACCATAAACTCCAAATGTTCTCAGTGGGATCAATACACACGGCAAAACCACTGCAGCTTCCTCCACACAGCCCAAGCCCTGTCAGAGCTCTTGGAGTGTTCTGAGTAGCACAAGTGTCCACTTCCCAGGGCCCTGACGGGTGTTTCTAGTGCTCCAGGAGAGCCTGTGCCCCAGTTCTCTTGGACACAAATGCTGCTGCCCACTGTGGGAGAACACCAAGGGTCACCAGTATGGGTACAACTCAAGAGGTTTCATCCCAGGAAGTTTTTATCTACTGGTAAAGTGCAAAAAGATAGAAATGTAAATCAGCTTTTTACCTGTTGGACTCTTACTGATGTAGGTACTAACAGGTTTTGTGATATCACATGCCCAGAAGCAAGCTGCAGTCTCAGTTATGCTGGTGTAAACCTGGACAGACTCCAGAGGTATGGAAATCTCTCCATTTACATCAGGATAAGCAGAAGCAGCAGTGCGCACTGGCAGAAACCCCCTCCCCTTTGTTCTTGTGCTGTTCCTGTGTGGCTCAGCACCACAATGCCCAAGGACCATCAGTGCACACTGATGGAGGAGGAGGAGGTGGCTGCTGTATCCTGGAGAAACATGACATAATTTATCCCACATCAAAATTATCCCACCATTTTTATCCCAGGAGGACTGAGCCAGCTTGCAGCACTCCGTTCCCAGCCCCTGTCCCTGCTGGGGTGGGCTGATGGAGTCCCGTGTTCGGCCGAGCTCCACAGGGCAGCCAGAGCCCAGGGGCCAGCGTGGCTGGGCAGGGAAAGGGCAGGGGACACGACCAGAGAAGCCTTTGGGGCTGCTGCTCCCTCTAGAGATGGTGAATCAGGGAGGGCTGGAGGTTCCATTCCAATGCTGGGGTGTCCTGATGCGGCAGGGCCCAGCAGGGCCTAGCTCAGCATCTTGTGCCGGTCGAACACAGTCTTCCTCTGCTCCTGCACCTGCCGCTTCCAGCGCTGCTGTGCCCCCTCCACCCGCTCCAGCACTGTGTTGGCCCTGGCACCAGCCAGGGTGGGTACTGCGGCCAGGGAGTGAGTGTCCTGCAAGGAAAGGAATGGGGCTGGAGACCAGGCAATGCCCAGCCCAAGCACAGAGGGAGGCAGCTGACTTGGGGAGAAACTGCACCTGAAAGAGCAGTTCAAGGTTTGAGTTGTTCTGATGAAAAACCTCCTTTTCAGAGCTCCTCAACATCAGCCCTCAAGTCCTTGCTCTTGGGGATCACCCACGACTCCAGATAAAAGTTCCCAGCAGAGGAACTGCACGAAGTGTAGAGCTCTGCTGGAAACCCACTCTTGGAGTCTACAAGGAGCCACAGTGCCAAGGTGAACCACATCCCCTCACTAAAACCAGGCTGACAATGGATGGAGATCCATTATGGCACAGGAACAAGGCCTATCCCAGAGGACTTAGTCCAGCATACTGGAGTGAGATAAATATGACTTAACACCAGGCATTTACCATGTGCACCTGGATCTGAATTACTGCTGCAAACCCATGACTTTGGGATACAATTCATCTCCTCCTGCAGGACCTCCTTTTTCAGCAGAGGGAGGCAATGGATAGACTGTGGACACTGGAGCAGCTGCTCTTCACATCCGAGTATGAAGGAATTGGGCCAAATAGTTTATACTCACAACAAAGTACAATAGGACAATCTAACCCAGTGCTGCAACTGCATTAATTTTATGTAGCAAGAAATTTTTCCTCCCCCAAAACTAGTGTGTGACAGAGAGAAAGAGGGAGAGAGTGGCTCTTTCTTTGCTACTGGGTCTTAATCATTTTGCCCACGGTTTGTACACCAGCGTTGCACAAAATGATGGGGTTTGAATGAAATTGTGCTCTGGGCAAACCGCAGCACAGGAGCACAAGGAACAGCAGCCTGGATACAACCCAAGGCCCAGCCCCAGAGCAGGATCAAACAGCACCTCATAGGCCAGTGTTTTAAGTGTCTAGAAGATGTTTTAGCTGACACTTAAGCTCATCCTTCCCTGGAAGCTCAGCACCACAAAACTCCATCTGGGACACTGCTCAAACAGGATCTGTTTGACTTTTTTTTCCCTCTAGATGGACAAACCAAATTCAGGCCACCTGCTACAAAGTCCCCTCTGCCTCTGAGGGCAAGGCTTGCCTTGGGGTCGTTACACAGAACTCTGAATATTCCATGTGCTTCTGCATGATGTGCAGAGATCCAAATGTTCACCTGTGTAAGTACTCACAAAGCAGTAGTGCTGGTCCCTCAGTGGATCAGAGGAGACAAGCAGGAGGTCACTGTTTCCCTGTCCCCCATTCTCCTGTCCCCCTGTCTGCACCCCCTGCCCCCTCACCTCGCTGTCCTCCTCATTGTGCAGGGGCTGGGTATAGGGGTCTGGCTTGCGGATCAGGGGGTCCACGAGCACCAGGAACGCCATGTAGAGCAGCAGGGCCCCCACCACCGACAGGTAGATGATGATGATCACCTGCAGTTGAGGATAGCGCAGGGGGAAAGGATAAGCAGTGTAGATAAGAAGCACCACAGAGGTCAGGAAGGTCCTTTGCAGCTGCCTCTGATGTTTGATCTCTTGTTTTCATTTTGCTCACAAGAGTCTCTAGCTCTTGCCAGGAGGCCAAGGTTGTGCCATCACAGCACAAAGTGTGCTGACTCTCTCACGCCAACTGAGGGCATGTTCTGCACATAAGGGACAACAAGATGGGGCCCTGATCAGAGATGCTTGGCCCTCTTGTCACACTTGTCCACGTCCCCAGCAAGAAGACTGGGCTCCCACACAGCTTCTGACTACCAGGAATGCCCCTGCCTCAAACATGGAATCACAGAAATCACAGAAGTCACAGAATCCCTGAATCACAGAGTGAGGTTGGAGAATATGTCTGAGATCATGGAGTCCAACCTGTGACCAATCCCCACCTTGTCACCCCACCCAGAGCACTCAGTGCCACATCCAGTTGTTCCTTGAACACCTCCAGGGACAGTGACTCCCTGGGCAGCCCCTTCCAGTATCCAACACCCTTTTTGTGAAGAAATTCTTACTAATGTTCAACCTAAACCTCCCCTGGGGCAGCTTAAGACCACGTCTTCTTGGTCCTGTCACTAGCTGCCTGGGAGAAGAGGCCAACCTCCATGTGGCTACAGTCTTCTTTCAGAGAGTTATAGAGTGAGCCCCTGGCACTGCCACCATGTACTCGCTGTGACAGTTTCCTTTCTTAAAGAAAACTTTCTGGGCTCTTCTCCAGGAACCTACCAGTGTGGCAGTGCCAGCGCTGCTGTGGCACGGCAAGGGGCAGGGCACAGCCAGTGACTGCAGTCACCCTGGGCTTGTGTGGCACAGCAGGGGGCAGGACACGGGCCTGAGCTCAGGTACCTTGATGGTGGTGGTGCTGCGCTCCTCGTACTTGCACTCGCAGAGCAGGCAATAGGCCTCCACGTCATTCCCGGGCACTGGCATGGGCTCCACCACGTGCAGACAGTTGCTGCAGCACAAACCAACCACAATCAGCAGCAGCACAAGCTGAAACCAGTGCTCTGTGCAAGGACACTGGGGTGACTTTGTCTGTGTCCCAGTTTTCCGGTCAGGCTGATAAGACTGATCTGGTGTTAAGAGCTCCCCTCACAGCCTAGCTGCCCGAAGTGCCTGGGATAGATTGTCCCTCAGCAGCTTTTGCAGAGATCCAGTCCAGGTGGAAAGGATTGGAGGGCACACCCTACATCTGCCAAGAGCGGTGGGTAAATGTATCATCCCAGATTCCTCAATTTGTGTTTAAAAAAATGCCCCTGGCCTAGGTTGAACACCAAAGCAGCTCCCTCTGCAAACATACAGGCAGGGAATCCGTTCTCAGCATCAGCTGGGAACTCCAGAGCCTGCCTGTCACGGACCGACCCCTGAGGCTGCCCACTCACTCACCAGTCCTTCTGGGACACGTTCTTGTTGTAGATGTGCCCGCTGATGTTGCGATACGGGGGGCAGATGCACTTGCAGCGAATGTCCTCAGAGCTCTGCAGGACACAGGAGCCATGTGAAGGAGAGGACACAGCTCTGTCCCCTCACACCCCACTTCTGCTGTGCCCCACACATGGCTCGGTGTCACCCACCTTGCTGGCCTGTGCTGGGGGACACAGGACACAGCCCAGCAGCACCAGCAGCAGCATGGGGCTCACAGAGTTCCGGGAGCTCTGGGCAAACATCCTGGGAGCCTGAGGGAACAAAATTCACATCCAGGATAGAGCATCTCAGCTGAATGCAGCCACAATGAGGTAGTCAGGAGATTTTTTTTAGCCCACTTGCCTCTGTTTTGCCCAGGAAGAAGAAATTTATTCCTGAATCTCAGCTGATGCCAGCCAGAAACCAACACAGATCCCAACAACGCTCCTGTCAGAAGAGCTTCCACCCTGTACAGCCACACATCTAAACTACCCCAGCCCTGCAAAAATATTGCTGATTTCCTTACAACTGGACTTGCAGAAAACCTCCTGTTCATCTCTTACTACCCTGGAGCCCAGCTGCAGATATTTTGGTGCTGACAGTTTTGCTCACTAAAAGATGCAGAACTGGGTGACCTAAAGCAATACACTGGGGCCTCCCTGCTGCATTGCCATGAATGGCAAATCATTCATCTTCTGACACTCAAAGTCTTGCTGCTGAAGGGAATTATGTATTTTCCCGTCAAGAGCTATGGGAAAGGGGTGGAATATTCCAAACCAATTCCTAAACCTCCTTTATCTCAAGATACCTGTTCAGTAAATCCTGATTTTAAAATTACTTCAAGCTGGTAGCTTGGTGAATTCATTAATGCCTTTTGCTACATATCACAGAATGGTCTGGGCTGGAAGGGACCCTAAAGATTATCTCCTTCCAGCCCCCATGTGTGTGGATAAGTTGTTCCAGAGATGTGTGCTTCCATAAGTCCATAAGAATATGAATTTATTCCCTGTGCCACAAAAGGCAAGTTTGCCTTGGTCAGCCTGGCATTCACCCTCAGACAGAAAAGGTGGAGTGGGTGTTGGGGGACCTTGGGACAGCAGGGAAGAGCTGTTTCAGCAGAGGAAGGGGAAGGGAATTTACACCTTCATTAATCAGCTCCCAGGTAATCCCACAGCTTACTCCAGGTACTTGTACTCCATCACCTGACCTGATTCCACTGGGATTTAAATCACTGCAATATTCCATCCCCTTTGCTTTATCTTAAGTCAACACTTGAGATTCACATAATGGATTACAAATACCAAGTTCCTTTCTTCTTTATCTAAACAAAACACCAGCAACTTCTAATAAGCTGCCAGACCTCCAAAATGCATTCCAGTCTTATCACCTCATCCCATGATTTATTAAGGTTTTGCACCACAGCTTCAAAATCTTCTCAAACAATGATCCTTTCCAGGGAGACTCCCCTGTACATTCAGATCTTCATCATGGATCTGGGGAACAGGACTATCTAAGCTGCCCAGTGCATGTTACCCATTTTAAGTGGGTCTGGACTTTTGTCTGAATTTTTAACACAACAGTGGGACATGTACAATTGCTGGGCATGCAATGCCCAACTCTCAGCTGAGTTCAGAATATCTGAACAACTCATGAATGTCACTTTTAAAAATAGGAGGGGAAAACACGTGATCTATTATACCATAAACAAAAACTTAGAACCTGGGCAGAGTTCACGCACCATGAACTGCCGAACATCCTCAACCACACAAAGGATGATTAAGGCATATTTATCTCCAATTTATTTGACAGCAAAGGGACGCATGCACACATGCCTTAGAGCTATTTTTTCCAGACTATCAGCCCAGGCCACAACAGCCATGCAGCCAAAACCAGCTGCATCTGGACCAAAACCCGCCAGCGCAGTAAGCACAGCAGAAGGTGCACGGCTGAGGTGAAGTTCTCGGGGGCTGTGAGTGTGACAGCTCCCAGGATGACCCCCCCAAAAGGCTGTCCAGAGCATGGCTGCACACAACCACCCCCTCTTCTCCCTGGGATTGCCCAGTAATCACCTCATCTTTAACCTCCCCAGCCCTGGAAGTGTCCAAGGCCAGGCCGCACGGGGCTTGGAGCAGCCTGGTCTCGTGGTCCTTGCCCGCAGCAGGGGTTAGGACTGGATGAGCTTTATGGTCCATTCCCACCCAAACCATTCTGGAATGATTCTGGGAACATCACATGGAGCACTTCTAAGACTCCAGCCCGTTTCCCTCCCCGGACCTGTGCTCGAACCACCCCCTCCACCTACCCGGACCCAGGGCAGGGCCGGACCCAATTCCCGCCGAGGGCCCGGATGCCGCCTCAGTCCTCCAGGGGCTTCCACCGCCCGGTCCCACCCGAGATGCCTCCGGCAGTGCAAGCCACGGCCGCACCGCGAGCCCCGGGTCCTGCACAGCCCCGCACGGTCCCGCCCCAGGTGCGGGGAGCGGAGCGGAGCAGGAGCAGGAGCAGGAGCAGGAGCAGGAGCAGGGCCCAACGCCCCTCAGCCCCCGGCCATACCCACCCCACATCTGCCCCTTACCTGCCCCTCGCTCCAGCCCGAGCGCAGCCCCGCCCTGCAGGCCCCGGCCAGACCCTCCCCGCGTGCCCATTTGGCCATGGAGCGTAACGCCCAGTGACGGACAGCTCCGCTGGCCAATCGGAGGGCAGGCAGCCCAGCCGGTGCTGAGGGTGGCCCGCGTCCCGCAGAGCTGAGGGGATGCGATGGCGTCGCCGGCCGTTGCCGTTGCCGTTGCCGGAGGGGCATTTAGCCGATGTGTCCCGCGCAGTTCCCGCCTGGCTTCCCGGGGCAGCGCCTGCGGGGCTGCGCCTCCTCATCCTGGGGCTGAGATGCGGGATAGCCCCGATCCTTCTCACCTCACATCCCCGTTTCCCCCTTACACCCCCTTCTCCCCTCACACCCCGCTCTCCCCTCACGGCCCCGCTCTCCCGTCATGGCCTCTCTTCTCTCGCAGTCTGCGTTTCCCCCTCACACCCCATTCTCCCGTCATGGCTCTGCTCTTCCCCTCCCACCGACGGTGGTCCTGTGACTACCAGAGGGAAAAGCCCGGGCCGCAGTGGTGCCCTTGCTTCTGGTTTTGGCTGATTTGTGGTTATAGATGATATCATTGCGCCTTCAGTTTCAAAGGCTTCGGTCTTGCTATGAACCTCTTGTGTTTGAGACTTGTGACTGATTTTAAAAGCCTGGTGCTTGTGCCAAGAGGAACATTGTGCCTTTCCAAGGCCACAGTGTGTGGTGTTTGCCCAGAGAACATGCCTCAGATGTGGTTCTTGTAGCACCTCGGGTTTGCCCCACTTTCCGTGTCGGCACCCTTCAGGTGTGCAAACACCCCCAAGCCTTGGCTTTGCTCCGGTGGCAGCTCCCAGGAGGTTCCATTCAGAGCTGGAGGGATGGAGGGTGTCAGGAAAATTCCACAAACGCCAGAGGTTATGTCCAAAAAGGAGAGAGAGGAGTCCTGCAACTTCATTCCAATAAAGGGAGAAAGTCCATCAAAGCACACACCCACGGACCTTTCTCTGCCGAATTTTGGAGGGCACAGCCTCCTTTTATTCCAAACTCCTGGCCCCATGTTGCCTCTTCCTTTCCCCATTGGCCGAGGTACTAGGAAGGTACAGCCTTCCAGAACCGCCTACCACATGAACGCCTTTGAACTCATTATTTTACCCCAAAGTTCAGGCTTGTGCAGACACTTGTCTGTTTCAGGAGCCAATCTGTCTGGGCCCATACCCTCACCCATCAAATTGTTCCTAAAGACATTAGCTTTCCTCTCAAGGGGCTTACCTGCTTCTCTGGCACTTTGCTGCTTTACCTGGTGCAGATTTACCTGGTCTGTGTTGCTGGATAAAGTCAGACCTAATTTTTTTTCAGGTAAAAAATATCCCTTGATGGAAAAAGAAGAGACCCAAACCCCTGGTTTAACTTCTAGAAATAGAATCACAAAATCAAATAGTTTTGGAAAGACCCCGAGATCATCATGTCCAACCTATGCCTGACCCCCACCTTGTCATCCAGTCCAGAGCACTTAGTGCCATGTCCAGGCGTTCCTTGGATACCTCCAGGAACGAGGACTCCACCACCTGGAGTCCCTGGGCAGTCCCTTCCAATGCCTGACCACCCTTTCCATGCAGAAATTCCTCTGGATGTCCAACCTGAACCTTTCCTGGTACATCTTCATGACATTTCCTCCTGTCCTGTCCTTGTTCTCTGGGAGCAGAAGAGGCCAACCCCACCCTGGCTGTCCCGTCCTGTCAGGAGTCGTGCAGACCCAGAAGATCCCCCCAAGCCTTCTTTTTCTCCAGGCTGAGCCCCTTTGCCAGCTCCCTCAGCCACCCCTGGTGCTCCAGACCCTTCCACAGACTCCATTCCCAGCTCTGGACTCTCTCCAGCCCCTCAATGTCCTTCCTGAACCGACCTGGCATGGACACCTCATGGGACGGTGTTTCCAGTCTTGACAGAGTTTGCTCCTTTGATGAAAATAAAAGTGAAAATAGCAAGGTGAGATACATTCAGCCAGAAATAGGTGTAGATCAGAGGGTAAATGTCTGTTTGGCAGATAGTTCTTTCCGATAGTTTTAACTTTCTAGAAATGAGTAAATAATTGAGACTGCTTGTTTTAGGCCTTGTAGAATGTATAAGTTGTGAACACTGCTAGGTTTTAAAATGTCCCACACTGTTCCATGCCCCTGGCATAGGAATTACTGATGAAAAAGTGCTTCCTTAGAGTCATAAAGTCATGGGGTGGTTTCAGTTGGGAGGGGCCTCAAAACTCATCCCATCCCACCCCATGCCCTGGGCAGGCACACCTTCCACTATCCCAGGTTGCTCCAAGCCCCATCCAGCCTGGCCTTGGACACCTCTAGGGATAGGGCAGCCACAGCTTCTCTGGGCAACCTGGGCCAGGGCCTCCCCATCCTCACAGGGAAGAATTTTTTTCTATTACTTCATGTAAACCTACTCTCTTTCAGTTTGAAGCCATTCTCCCTTGTCCTGTCACTGCATGTTCTTTTACATAGTCTCATAAATAATATTCTGAAGAGTTTTCTCACCCATTGCTGTAATGTTTAAAATCCTGGCCCTCTCATGGCTGCATTCTACTCCCACTCACTGGAGTCTGTATAGGATAGTAGTCTAAATCAGCTGGACTGATCCAAGGAAACATTCCATGAGAATAATCCTGGGTATTAGATGCGCAAAGGACTTCTAATTCCTTCCTCCTACTCCAGTGTTGCTGAGTGAAAGAAGCTCTTTGGTGCTAAATCAGAGCTCTCCCTTCAGAGTAGAACCCTGGGCCTGCTCATGGGACACTCAATGCTGTGACACAGCTGAGTTTTTTCAGGTTTAAAAGCCCGTGGCCACAGGGATTTTCTGTGACTGACTTTCTTCTGGCTGGTGAGGAGGTGTTTTTGTGTCTGACATACCTGTTGTCACAGCAATCTGTTCTTCTGTGTCTTTTGCAGACCAAAGGTCCGTACCACTGCTTCTTGTGGGGCTACAGAAGACACTTGGAGGAAGCAGCCTGGACTGGTGACAAGACCCTGGAAATGCCTTTGGAGGAAGTAAAGGAATGGCCCAGGCAGATGAGGGACCACATCCAGGGATCAGGTTTTTTGGGTGAGCCCCTCAAAAACAGACTGACCCAATACAGGATGAGTTTGAAAGTTGCATTTCAGTTCAAGTGCCTTTTCCAAGAGGCTGGTTTCAGAATTCTTGGATGGGAGAGTGAGTTGCATGTA